CTTTCTTTTATCAGAGGCTCGTTCACCTGTGCATCTACCAGTGTGATACATGTCATCATGTGCCAGCAATGCCCCTCTGCCGTGTACATTGGCCAAACTGGACACTCTCTACATAAAAGAATAAATGGACACAAATCAGACATCAAGAATTATAACATTCAAAAACCAGTCAGAGAACACTTCAGTCTCTTTGGACACTCGATCACAGACCTAAAAGTGGCAATTCTTCAACAAAAAAACTTCAAAAACAGACTCCAGCGAGAGACTGCTGAATTGGAATTAATTTGCAAACTGGATACAATTAACTTAGGCTTGAATAAAGACTGGGAGTGGATGTGTCATTACACAAAGTAAAACTATTTTCCTTTGTTTATTTCCCCTCCTACTGTTCTTGTAAAGTGCTGGAAATGGCCCACCTTGATTATCACTACAAAAGGTTCCCCCGCCCCCACCCCTTCGCTCTCCTGCTGGTAATAGCTCACCTTACCTGATCACTCTTGTTACAGGCTGTATGGTAACACCCAATGTTTCATGTTCTCTGTGTATATAAAATCTCCCCACTATATTTTCCACTGTATGCATCCGATCAAGTGAGCTGTAGCTCACAAAAGCTTATGCGCTAATAAATTTGTTAGTCTCTAAGGTGCCACAAGTCCTCCTTTTCTTTTTACATACACAAACTATCCTTGGTTTTAAAGGGATCACTCGTTACAGTACTTCAGGTGCAATCTTGGAGTACATTTTGGCTCATTACAACTGAAAGAACTATTTCAGGTGAACAGGACCTGAGAAAATACTGGCAGAGATCCAGCTACCCAGTGATGCTCCATGCATGCCAGGGACAATAGCCATAGCATTATTTGTCCTGCGAGATAATAGGTGGATACAGAGGCGCAAAACCCTGCACAAGGAAAGAGGCTTAACACTCCTGATAACAACAGCAGGCATTTTGCATCCAGAGCCCCAGGCATTGCATCTTTAGAGAACAATGGGGAAGTGAAAATCCGCATTACAGTGAATGGAGAAAGCTGTATAATACACGTATCATTTTCTGTAGCAGCCTTGGCTGAAAGAGCTGTAATTAATTATAAGGAGATGACAAATGGTCAAGGCTCTGCTGAAGGCAGTGGCCCTGGTATTTGACATTGTAATGTGACTGGGGAAAAGCTTGTCAAATCAAGGTTGTATTAATTTATTAGACCACTAATCTTGGCAAGTTAAATGAGGAGGGAGGTGGATAAAAGCTGAAATGCTATTGCAAATATTCAATCTTTTTTGGGGCGGTGGATCACTGGAAAATATTAATGTGCTTTTAGGAACAAAGAAACATCGTTGACCTGATATCTGTGCTGGAGGCTTGTTTATCTGTCAATCGCACTCCTCACAATGGACTACAGCCTAAAGTCCTTACATGGTGGTTATTTTGGTGACCTCCCATTGGTGACAATGGAGTGAGAACATCAGGTTTTGCCCAGTATGCATTCAGCTGTTTGTCAACAAGTTACAGGTATTTAACAGAAATTCCCTACCTGCAGCTTGGAAGTTTCAAAGTGGCTCCTGGATCTCTTCTGAATCATTCCGTGCTCTCTTTTTGAAAAGCAGTGTATTTTAGTGACTAGGGCTCTGCTCTGGCACAAGAGAACTGCCACCGAACTGTTGTGTGACCTCGGACGTGTCAGTTTATCTATGTGTTGCTTTTATCCCCTCACACACTCTGTCTTTGTCTTGTCTGCCTAGATTAGAAGTTCCTCTGGATAGGAGCAACAAGGAGTCCAGTGGCACCTTAAAGACTAACAGCCATCTACTATCCAGCATCTAGCAAATGTGATCCCAATGTCAGTATGGGCCTCTAGGTGCTAAGTTAATAATCAGATACTATTACAAAGATTCCAACTTTCTCTTCGGCACCATTTCAAATACCGGTGGTCAAACCCTCTCTACATGTGCTAACTACCATGGCAGAAGCTATCAATTATTGATTTCTAAATCAAATAAGATGCAGCAGCAGCATGTACCATGGAGCCAGGCAAAAAAATTTCTCTAAAACCTTTTTTGAAAAATGCAGATTTGGCAACATCAAAACATTTTGCAAATTCATGTCAGTTTCCCAATAGTTTCAGCCAAAAACAAAAAGAGAAAAAAATTCGGGAAAAGTTGAAATCTTTCACTTTGACGTTTTAGAAACAAAATGTTCCAATTTGGGAGGGGGCCGGAGAGGGTGGCAAAAAGACTGTGTTTTGACATTTCTGACCATTTTATTTTAAAAACAAAATTCCAAAACATTTTAAAAAGCTCCAAATCACAGGAAAATGTGTAGCTTGACCTGACAAAAAATTTGAACTTTTTGATTTGCCTAAAACTTCTGAAACATTTTGATATTAGTCAACCAAAAACTATTCCCCACCTTCCCTTCCCTATTTTTTGGAACTGACAACGAACCAAACAATCTGTTATATACACAGGTCTACTCAAGATCGCTGGGTCCTGTATCCTTCCATCTGTTATGCTGCAGTCCAGTGTGACCATGCTTTATACTATCTGGAACAGGGTGACCTGCCTCTTTAAGAGCCATGAGGTCTTGGGCCAATTAGCCCCGCCCTAATCCACCTGTGCAGGGCAGGGGACTTAAAAGGAGGAAAGCCCAGCAGTTGAATGCTGGCTGTGGAGGAGGGTACACAGGCTGCTCTGATATGAGGCAAGGAGCTGGGAATTGGCTGTGGCCTCCCACAGGCCCTTGGTAGGAGGATAGTCCTGACCCAGATGATAGGAGCCCAAGAGCTGGCAATGAGAGAGGCTGTCGCCATGGGAGCCCACCTCTAAGGTAGGAGGCTAAAAGCTGGGCCCTGTAGGGCTGAATGAAGATGCTCTTCTTTTATTGATTTCAAAGTAGCAGCCATGTTAGTCTGTATTTGCAAAAAGAAAAGGCAGACTTGTGGCACCTTAGAGACTAACCAATTTATCTGAGCATAAGCTTTTGTGTTTCAGACTTGGACTAAGGGACTTTGTTCTCCTGGAAGTTGTTGAACATTTTAATGAAGTGCCTTGGCCGGAAGGCCATGTCACCTCTGTGCTGGGAGTAGGGTGAAGATCATTGTGGGGAAATTAAGGCAGACCATTGCAACGCTGGGTCTTGCTGTGAGGGGTCACTCTGAGATGGTGAGTCTTGGAATGCTATCCAACTGGATGTGGATATGTCAGGAATGTTAAGGCTATTGAGTACACTGCTAGTTCTCCCGGACCAGCAGCACATGGATACTTAGCACAGATGCTTTGGTAATTATGATACATTGAGACTTCTGTACTAAAGCCTCCAACGCCAGTTGTGTGGCAGTATACAGTTAACAATGAGGAGTCCAGTGGCACCCTAAAGACGAACAGATTTATTTGGCTATAAGCTTTTGTGGGTAAAGCCATGCATCTGAAGAAGTGGTTTTTTACCCACGAAAGCTTATGCCCAAATAAATCTGTTAGTCTTTAAGGTGCCACCAGACTCCTCATTGTTTTTGTGGATACAGACTAACATGGCTACCCCTCTGATAGTTAACAGTTGTAATACAAAACATAGTGATGCTTGCGCTCTTTGAATCTGTGTTTATTTAGGTGTATGGATTTATTAAACCTTTTGTTATATATAAATCTGGAGGGAAGATTCCTTTTGTAGTAAACATATGCTTTCCTTTTCTTCTTCCTTCAGGTAAGATTGGTTCTGTATTTGATCACACTTCTTACTGTCTTCACTCGTGTTTTCTCTCAACGTTGACCATCCAGCTTGGTTCTGTATTAGCCAATCAGGTTTGGCCAGTGCCATATCTTCGGTTGATAATTCAGACTTCTGTTGCCCATTCAGTTCCTGTAGCATGTGCCAGAATAGAGACTATCTGAATGTAGATTTATTAGATACCTATTCTGTTGTAATCTTGGCAGAGGCTAGAAATATGGCCAGTTATGGAAAATGTTAGGAAAATTTGTATGAAGTGATGAATAGAAGTTCCATGCAGCTCTAGGGACCTGTTGCCAGTTCACCTCTTGGTTTTCCTCTGGGAATTTCAGAGTTAGGGGAAGGGTTGTTGTCTGCTTAAAGCAAGATACTAGGAGTTTGGGATTCCTGTTTCTGCTACTGTTTCACAGTGCAAGTGAAACTTTGGCAAGTCACTTAAACACACCATGTGTCTGTTTCCGGATAAAATGAGCATGATAAACTTGCCTGTGTTGCAATAGGGACATGGTATTCTAGTGGCTGGGGTCTTTATCGGAGTTCGTCATTCAAAAGTATTGTACTTTCATTGGCTTTATGTTCCCTCTTGCATAGAAGTTTGCTGGCTCTTTTTCTCATCCAGGTGATCAGTGACCCACTGCTACACACTTTGATTCTATGAGATTGAACTCACCTTGACCTGTTTGTCTCCCCACTCCAGACAGTCAGAAGGGTCCTGAGGTTCCTCTGGGGCCTTGGCTTCTGAGATATGGTTGACTAATAGAGCCATGGCTCTCTGGACAGAAGTGTCTGTCCACACAGCATTTTGAGTAATACACTGAGCCAAACAAGCTTCAATATGTCACTTCAATATGTCCATGGCTTCCAGGTAACATGGCCGAGTCAGCCCCAGGATACCTGATTACACAGGGGATAGAGAGCCAACAAGTTGGGAACATAGAGTGATACAAGCAAAGTGTGGACAACTAGAAGAGTGATTATCCACATAACTAATCTGTGAATTAGCTGCGCAAGGACCATGCTTTTTGAAAGCCATGCCACCCCTGAGTTAGTGGCAGAGTTAAAAGCTGGGCCTAGGAGTGATTGGCACTGCGGTGTGACTTTTTTTTTTCCCCCCTTAGTATGAGTTTGCTAACTGAAGATGATGAGTCTGTGTGGGTTGTTTTTTTTCCTGAGGCTCAAGATGTGAAAATGTGTCTGATGTCTTTCATTTCCACCTATTGAAAATGCTTTAAAAGAAAAGAAATAAACAGATGGCACTCATTAGCGCAAGAGTGCTTTAATCTTTTGCACATTTTAAATTTTATTTTCCTTTCAACGTTCGTAAGTAAATTGGTATAAAATTAAGACTTCACCAGAGCAATTGAGTTTCACACATTTCAAGCCATGAAAGGGGAGGTGGACTCAGTCCAAATTTTGACAACGAATGCAATCCTGGCATTGCAATTATCTATTATGACCAACAAATATATTCTAAATAGATGGAATGCATTGAGCTCAGTCTTACACATCTTACTCAAGCAAAACTCCTTTGAAAGCCCAGTACAAGACTGTGTCTTTTGCTTCTACTATTCATCCAAGTAATTTTCATTTTAAACTGGAAAAAATAAACCCTTCATTTTAAGGAATGCATGCAAGCCACTGTGGATCAAATTTTCAAACCGGGACATTCTACCAAAGTAATGGAGGTGCACCATTTTACACAATAGAAAATCTGGGCCAATATATACATGCTATGGAACTCTGGGGTCAAAGAAGTTAGATGAGATCTGAAGTTGGACTTTAGCATTAGTTGGGTGAATCATACTGTAACCCACTCATGAAGGAGTATTCCAGTTTCCCCTTTTATACCAGTCTGCAAAGGTTATGAGTTGCTACTGTTCTCAGCTACAGAATCTGGGCTCTGTAGCTCACTATGTAGCAGCTTGTGCTCTGAGGTCCTGGAGTTCAGTCCCTGGTATGGTGGCCAAAGAAATACAAACCAGACTGGACAAGGCAATGATCCCCAAGACATCGAAAGGACACTTCTCCCCTAGCAGTGGTGGAATGGGTTGCATTTCTTGTCCGAGTGATTTCTAAATCGCAGGCCAGGGGAGATATGTTTGAGGACTAGATGAACATGTGAAGCATGAATGCAAGTTATATCACTCAGTTTGCTTTTTTACAGGCAAAAGGAAACCATGATGTTTCTGATACTTTTTACATCATAAAGAAGCAATAAATATTTCAAAGGTTTTCTTAAGGGCTTGTTTTCTTTTTCTTTTTTAATCATAGAAATTAAGATCACGTCTGCCCTGTTTATTCAGGGAGATACAATGGAAAAGTGGTGATCTAATAGGAATTACAACATGACAAAATGAAATCCCAGTAACTGACCAGAGAAGGGACTGTTAGTCTGATTTTTCAAATTTAGAGCTGGGTTTTCTATTTTTCAGGAAATTCTGGACTTTTGACATTCATTTTTGTTCCAAAATGGAAGAAAAACAAAATGCTGTGGAAAGAGATTCCACAAAATTACATCTCCCCTTCTTCACCACCCACCCTGCAAATAGTTAGGGGTCAATCAACAGGTTTTGTTTCAATACAATTTCATAATTTCATTCAGATTTCAACCTTTAATTATTTTTAAAATAGAAAATCAGTTTTGTTTTGAAAGGTTGTTTCAAAATGAAAAAATCGAAACATTCCATTCTGTAATACTTTAATTTTGGTTTTTAAAACAAAACATTGTCAACATCTCAACGTGTTTTTGAACCTTTTTGATTTTGACAAAAAATTTGCATTTTTTGTTTATAAACCACTTTGATAAATTCCTGACCAGCTCTGTTTAAAACAGTTCAAGCCAGATTCTCTGGACCAGCCAAGCTGTGCTCTCTGAGGACTGGTGGGGGAGGGAAACTTTGCCACTGGTAGCAGATATGTCCTCAGTGCAGGTTAGAAGGAGCCAGTTCCATCTACTTCTCCCAGTAATACAAATAATTTAAAATTGATATTGGTAAGAATTCACGTCTGACGCTTTCCTTTTAAGAGATCTTAATGGAATCAATTTGGGCCATATCATGATAACACTTTAAGACTGATCTTGTACTTCATATTTCTACAATTTCTCAAGTTCAATGGGACCATGTACGTGAGTAAGGACTACTTGCCTGAGCAAAATTTGACAAATGGGGCCCTTACTCATGAGCGTGTTAGGAAGCTCTCTTTTATTTTCCAGCTGAGATGTTTCTTGAAGGAATCAAGCTGAATTATTGCAGTGACAAGTTAATTATGTGCCAGCATTCTTGTATGAAAAGTAGTAATTTCCCATATAAAGCAGTCACACACGATGCCAAATAATCTGAATATCTTTAACTGAATATCAGCCATATACCCGTGTATTTAAAATAACAAATACTGTCTGCTCCCTTATAACTGATGTATTTGAATATAAATGTAGAAGGCCATATTTCCGGATGCCACCTTATAATAATTAAGCTCTGCACCATTGCATTCATAGTGCTTGCTCAATGCTGCATCTCATTAATAGTTGCCAGAACATTCACAGCGGAGTTAGAAAGTTTAGAATGAGAGGGGTGACTGGGACTTTAATCAGGGTAAACTGGAACTCCATATTATCCGAGATATAAGGAGTGTAAAGAAGTTAGCCGGGGCTCGTCCCCCTCCGGGGCGGTGGGGAGCCACACCGCCTCACTAGACACCATTGATGTCTTGGGGGAATTAGTCCGGCCGTGGGAGTCTCCCTCGGCAGCCCTTGCGACAACTGCAAGAAAGCACAGTAAGCCCGGGCCCTAGGTCAGGGCGGGGCAACAGTGAGTCAGGCCCTCAGGCAGGGCTGAGCCGTAATAGTACAAATAGTATCAATAAGCCCAGGCCCTGGTTCAGGGCAGGGTGACAACAAGTCAGACGCTCAGGCCTTCAGGCAGGGGCTGAGCAGTAGCAATGAGCCCAGGCCCTTGTTCAGGGGCTGAGCAGTCGCGGTACCAATAGTAGGCCCAAGCCTCCAAGGGACCTGGCAGAGGGGGAGACGGCCACCCGCGAGTTGCGTGGCAGGGGGGACGCAGGCCCTCCCGCTCCACTGCGTCCCAGCCCGGGGCCCTAGCCGCGGCAGAAGACCTGCTGCTGAGTCAGTGGGGATCCCGGCCGCAACACACTGACATGGGCTTTGGCAGTGCTGCAGCCAGAGTATGGTCGGCTGCCCCATGGCTACTTCCAGACTCCCCCTCTTGTGGCATCTGGGTCACGGTGGTGTCCTCTGGGGGGTCCAGCACCATGGGTTCCTCCGGGTAGGTGGCGAAAGGCAGGCCCGGCAACTCCTCCGGGTCGCGGGTGTGGGGCAGGCCCGGCAACTCCTCCGGGTCGCGGGTGTGGGGCAGGCCCGGCAACTCCTCCGGGTCGCGGGTGTGGGGCAGGTCGGAGGCATCTGGCCTCCCCGGCGGCTGTCTTCTCAGTGAGTTCTGAGGTCGAGTCTTTATACTTCTGGGGCACCTCCTGACCCTCTGAGGGGCGGGCTCAGAGCTCCCTAGCTCCGCCCACTCTGGTGCCCAGAAGGGCTCATCCCTCTCCGGGGCAGCGGGGAGCCACACCGCCTCACTACAGGAGGAAGGATAAAAGTAACAATGACTGATTGTGTGATTGTTCAAAGGCAAGGGACCATCTTTCTTCTACTGCTGTAGTCATCATAAGTAGAGCTGGGTGAATTCTTTTCTGGCAATTTTTTTTGCCAAAAATGAATTGTTTTGGACCTCCAAAACTATTTGCTGAATTTGGGTTGAAACATTTCAGATGATTCAAAATGAACTTTTTTTTTAGTTTTTGATTTGACAAAAAATATTATTTCTGTATGAATTGGGGAGGTGGGTTTTTTTGTTTTATTTTGGCTTCTGAACCAAAAAATTCCAGCTGTAATCATAATAGAGTCTGATTCTTTTCAACTTCTTTGTCCCTTGTGCAGTCATTTTTATGAGTTGAAAGTGAGTGTAGAATTCTCTATGCTGTTTTGGTAGCAAGGTATGTGAAGCCACCTGAGAATTCTTTCAAAGATTGCCTAAGCTTTGGCTGTTTATATGATTTATATGCTATATGCCAGATCTTCATCTGGGGTAAATCAACATAGCTTTATTGAAGCTATGCCAGTTTACACCACCTGACGATCTGGGATGGGGGTCTGCCTACACAGAAATAAGAAAATTTAGCTTGTCCAGTGAAGCATACTCAGTATGTTGATTTCTGAATAAGCATGTTTATTAATGCTTGAAGATTACTTATCTGTTGCTCTAAGGGGAAAAAAAAACTACAGAGGGTCTCATCTTGATCTCACATCAGTTTTGTACTTCCACTGACTTTAATGAAGTTGCTCCTCATTTATAGCAATGTAAGTTAGACCAGAATTAGGCTCCCTGACTTTTTTCTATGCAGTGCCTTGTTGAGTTGAAAACTACATAACCAAATTCCAGCAGCATGTTATCAGATTTTAGGAAGGCAGATAAAAAGGCACTCCCGAGAGTAGAAATCCCCTTGAGCTGGGGAGAGAATAGAGAAAGGCAATTATGAGAACCGCACGCTGTTTTATCAAGAGCAAACATTAGAAGAACTCCACTGAAATAAACTTGCCATAGCATTACAATTTCAACACCGCCTGTAGATTATGCCAGGGGCTCAGATCCTGAAAAGCAAATAGAAAAAGAGGGAAGAGATAAATGAGGAACTTTAAAAATAAAAATTCCAATTAAAAGTATTGACTTTTCATTTTATATGAAAGATTGAGGATATTTTTAATGTCCTTTTACTATTTGTCAAATTACCACAGGTGGCAAATGGGAAGGAAACCTGTTCTTTCCTGCTAGAAGAGTACAAGCTCGGAAGTTCAGGAAAAGGCGACAGGGACAATAACATCTAATCTAAAACCCTTAAGTGAGATGACTTTTATGAAGGCCTCCCAACAAAAATCTGTGAGAGTACCAATCATACTGTTTATAGAGATTTATGGACGATCTTTGAAAGGAACATAAACCTTACGTCCAAATGGAAGCCAAGCATGCATATCTGAGGGCAAAATTTGCCCATAAATTATGGGCACTGCCAAGGTATTTTCTAAATTTTATTCACTTCAGTCTTCAACATGGAAGATGGATGCCCAGGGATCTAATCTAGCCATTATTAGCTAATATCCTAAATAGTGAAAGGGAGTGAACAATTGGTGGCAAAGTTGTGGATGACAATTATTTAGCCTGGAGGGGATTGTGAAGAATTCCAAACTCACTTAACTGGGTGATTGGGCAACATAGTGGCAGATTAAATTCATTGTAGGCAAGTGTTCTTCCACATTAATCATACACACTGGTGACTTCTAAATTAATTGTAACCGCTCAGGAAAAGACCCACACATCACTGGGTGGACATCTCAGTGAAGACATATGCAGTACTGCATTAAAAAAAGCCAACAATGTGTTAGATTCTATTCAGAAAAAAGTACAAAATAATACTGAAAATATCATAATGCGCTCATTGTTTCGATGCTGTGTTCAGTCCTGGTCACTCCTTTTGAAAAGATACAGCAAAAATTGAAAAGACTCAGACGATCAATGCAAATCACGGAATCAAAGAAATGTGGGATTGGAAGGGAGCAGCAATAAGGCAAGATGCCTCCCAGAGCTCCTGCGGGGGGCAACCTTACTGCAGGGCTGTCGCTACGGGCTGCAGTCCAGCCCTATGCATCTTCTGGCCTCGGATAGTTACGGTGTTCTTTAAAACCAAGAAGAAGTGAATTGCCCTGCTCATCCTTAACTGGCAGCTCTAACTGTTGATGTCATTCGATAGGCAATATGTTCTAGGACAGTATTTGTTGTAATGCCCAGTCAGTATCCTGGAGGAGGGGCGGCTGAATCCAATGGGGAGGAAATATTTGTTCTGCACGTGGAAAATCTATAATGAAATCCTATCTCTTTTCTTTTGACTATACTATGCTATGTACTCTATGCATTCTCAGTGTGCATAGGGGTTTTTGTCAATTTCAACCGAACAGCAGCAAACCAGTGTATTAAAGCAACATAATTTGGTAGGTCCACTTTACCAGTGGCTCGAGTCCCAGCTCAGACATGGCATCTGTAATCATTTTGAGCTGGAGGGTGTGATTATCCACTGTAGATAGAAATGTTCTACTGACTGAATCAAATGCATTTAACTCAGCCAGCAACGTTATTGTTTGGAGGCCAAAATGTCTCCAGTTCATATCCTAGGTCTTGTTTCTGTTATTATATGTTTGATATTAATTTCTGCCTTTGAGTAGCAAAATCCTTCCAGCGCTATAAGAAGATAAGAGAAATGTCTATGGAGGTCTCCCTTGGCATAGCATTTTGGCACCAGCAAAACAAATATTGTGGGTTTTAAGTTAAGTCCCATACCTGATCCAAAAAGAAAAGGAGTACTTGTGGCACCTTAGAGACTAACCAATTTATTTGAGCATAAGCTTTCGTGAGCTACAGCTCACTTCATCGGATGCATACTGTGGAAACTGCAGAAGACATTATATACACAGAGACCATGAAACAATACCTCCTCCCACCCCACTCTCCTGCTGGTAATAGCTTATCTAAAGTGATCACGAGAACCTGGATTTGTGCTGGAAATGGCCCACCTTGATTATCATACACATTGTAAGGAGAGTGATCACTTTAGAGAAGCTATTACCAGCAGGAGAGTGGGGTGGGAGGAGGTATTGTTTCATGGTCTCTGTGTATATAATGTCTTCTGCAGTTTCCACAGTATGCATCCGATGAAGTGAGCTGTAGCTCACGAAAGCTTATGCTCAAATAAATTGGTTAGTCTCTAAGGTGCCACAAGTACTGCTTTTCTTTTTGCGAATGCAGACTAACACGGCTGTTACTTTGATACCTGATCCAGTAAATGATAGACGCTTCCCAGTTATCACTGGGGAGGTGAAGTTTTTTCTTCATTGTATTCCCCCATTTCCCCCACCCCCCATTTCTTTGTGTCACACAGCAGCAAAAGTAAAAACCTTTAGGAACCCAAACATTCATTATGATGCACATAACATTTATATGAGAGAAGTAGCTCTCTCTAGTGGTGCCTCCTATCTCAATTTAATCCAAACATAAATACAGATCTTTGCTTCAGGAGTCAGTAAACTGAAACAGTAAAACAGTCAAACCAAACACAGGAACAGCCTCTGTGATTTATATTTACTTTGCTCATACTTTAAAACTTAGAGAAATGCATTATAGTCGTCATTGCCTTTTATCTCAGCCATAGCATGGAAAATTACCTTCCACTGTCACATTTATAAAATACTTTCTGAATGTTTATCACCCATCGACGATTGTCACAAGGACAGCATGGTTCTTTTAACAGCTACTCATGTTACTTGAGTAATTTATGCTACACACGGCCAAAAAGTGGGAGAGAAGAAAGAGACAATATAATTGATGCTGTCTCTTTGCCCTAATAGAGAGGCTATCATTGCAGGATCACAAAGCTCCCTGGAAGCATTAAGACTTGTCAAATACCATTGCATATAGGGATAAACAGAGGCACAGAAAAGTTGAGTGACTTACTCAAGCTCACAAAGCTAATCAGTTGCAGAGCCAGGGACAGTACCACAGAGGCCTGACTCTTGGTTCCCAGCTCTTCCCTTGAACAGAGTATAGCACTTTTGTCTCCCAGTGTCACTGGAATAAGCACTCAGGTTTTCCAATCATTTTTATAGGTACTAACTTACAAATCTGGCCTTAAGAAAAGTTCCACTTCTGAAATTCAAAGCTAATTCTTTGGCAACTCTCAGCCATGCGCACACCCTTCTAGCTGTGTTATTGTATAGCTGTCAACAAGCCAGAGGGCCCCTGTGAGGGCTCATAGAACAGTCATGCAAATCTGAACACAAAGAAAGGATTGAGGGCAGAGGGCACTTGAATGAATGCTCCCTCTCCTCCCACTAGCCTCCATGGGAAGGGAGCCAGTTAATTTATTTAGAATAAAAGGATTTCAGCCAGCTGGATAGTGGCACTTGGCTTCCCTTGCAGGGCCTCCTGGGCATTTACTCTAGCTACAGGGTAACAAAGCATTTGGAAGCTGGATAGGTGGCCATGGAGGTCTACGATTTGTGTAGCATGAATTGGGAATAAAATTCCTTGTTGGGAAAGGAGGTTCAATACAGCAAAGTCTGCAGGATGGGGACCGTAATGTGCTTAAGCCAGATCCTCTAGCTCAGCAATCTGCACTTGGGGCAAGATAATACTTAGTCCTGCCTTGAGTGCAGGGGACTGGACTAGATGACCTCTCCAGGTTCCTTCCAGTTCTATGATTCTATAATACTATGAAAATTGGAAGTGAGGTGGGGGAAGGCAGCTGGATCCTTTCCAATCTGCACTGGCCTGGATCCCTGACACAAGTCAGAATACTCAGTGGGCCCCTTAACTTCTGCTGGCTGCCCACGGCCCCTAAGGGGCTATTCCAGCAGTCCAGCCTCACCAGGACATAGTGCTGCATGCCCTTCCTCCTGGACACCTGCCCTGCAGCAGGAGTGGCGGGGGAATCATTACCACTAATGCAGGGGAAATTCTTAAGGGGCTAGCTGGGCTGCTTTGTGCCCCTAAAGCTGTGTTGAGCAAACTGGTCTTCCCTCATTAGGCTCTCTCTGTGGGTTAGGCCTGTCCACACAGTAGAAACAGTTAAGGTTTCTGCAGTCAGGTAATTTTTTCCTCAGTTAACCATTCAACAGGCCACAAAGATGAGAGTCACACTCTGGTATGACTCATAAGGCTACATATCTTCATGGGTTAACAGAGTAAGTCCATTCCATGCTTCCCTGTGCTTTGGACATGTGAGCTTGTCGCATGAAAACAGCAACTAAGATCTTTTTATGTGTCTGATAAGGGATATTAGGGGTTCAGTTCATAGAAGCACTTAAACGATCCGTGTCTTCTGGGTGTGGCCATCTGTGCTGGAAAGTTCTGAGAACTGTCTGTCTTGTGAGGTTTTAGCTCATCTATTGCTGACCCCAGGGCTGCAGGCCAAGAAAATGCAGAGACAGCAGGCCTCCACAGATATTATGGCAATGGCTACATGAGAGACATATTTGACACATCTGGGCCCCCATTTTCAAATGTATTCCAGCACATGCACACTCTATTGCATGCCTGTTTGAAAGCACAGGCCATAAAATGCAAAATTCTAAGTTGGGGGGACTGTATCCTATAAGTGTGGGTTATTATGAGCTCACAGTTACTTTCAGTAAGTCACTTCCCTTCATGCCTCAGCTAACGCCATCAGTTGGGAATGAATAAAAATGAAAAGAAGATTACCTCTTGGATACTGAGGGAAACACACATGTAAAAAGTACTTTGGCATCCAGGGAACAGAGCTGTAACCTTGCTCATGTCCCTCCCAGAAACATACCTCTTAGGTCAGGAAGCACTGCCAGCAACTACAGCTGTCATGTTCATGTACTGGCTACAGAACTTGCTGATACACACCAGATGTGTCTTTCATAAGATCTTTTACTGCTGTGCAAGGTATGGCTGAGCTTATCTTAAATAGGGTTTTTTACATGGTGCCACCTAATGGCTGAACATATGTTATGGTTCAGCATTGTCTCTTAAGTTGATTTGTCCTGGATCTCCTTTCCAAAGTCAAATATCATCAAATCCTCTGACAAGTTCTTCCACCTTCCTCACTAGGCCCATCATGACTGCCACTCTGCCTCTGAGAGAGAAGGATGTCGGTCTTTGGTCACATACACTCTTTTGCCTTTGTAAGTTGCTTCTGTGGTGACCCACAGTTCAGAATACCTCCAGGGCTAGTCAGAGCTGTGTCAGGTAATTTCAGCTCTGGTTGGGGCTGAAGGTGATTGTAAATTCCTTCTGAGATGACTGTGACATCTGCTCTTGAGTCAATTTTAAAGTCAGTAGTCTACCCATGAATATTCAGTTTCATTCTCCAAGCACACTCTGTGTCATCACACGCAACAAATCCCAGAAACAATGGCTCTTGATTGTCTGTAATATGAGTCAACGCCCTGACTGCTTTGATGGGGAAAACAGCTGCAAAATGTCCATATTTCATTCATGTATTACACCATGAGCCTTTGACTGCATGTGCATTATCTCTTGGGATATGACTTTTTCGTCACCTTGTGCATGTAGGCTGGACTTTTGTCCCTCTTAGCCAGAGAGTTCTCTCTCCTTGCCTCAGGGGTTGTGATGATGATGATTTTCAAGTGTCTGCTTACAGTTTCTAAGCTAGTTTCAGGTTTTTCAAGTTTCTGTAGGTTTTTCTGTTTCACCAGTTCATCCTGTTTTTACTCTTTGGCTAGCTCTGGCTATGGTTAAATCTCTCTTCAATTGTAGCTGTTGTGAAAGGCTTTTATCTGTTAACCCAATAACCAGCCTGTCTGTGATATTTTCATGTTCCCAAAATCAGTTTTCAGCCAGTGTATGCAGAGCTCTTTTGAAACATTCAACATTTTCCCCTGGTCCTTCAATTCTCTGATAAAAACATGCTATTTTGTAAACCATATTTCTCTGAGGTATAAAGTATGCATCAAACATAGCCAGAACCTTTTCTTCATCGTCTTTGTGACTGTCTTCAGTAAAGCCAGAAGATTTAAAGATCTGCTCTGCTGGCTTCCATATCACATAAATTAAAGAAGATACCTGCCTAGCTCCAGTTTCTTTGTGGAGTTTGGCAGCAATGCAAAATCTTGCAACATATTGTTTTCAGTTTGTACATTCTGAACTTTTGTCAAAGCTGAAGTTTCTGGGGCATTGAAAAGTGGCATGTTGAGATCCTGAAACTTTTCTTGCTTTGCTCCTTCTATTTGCAAGCTTTGGTGCTGTTTTCCTTCTGTTTTTTGTTCTTAGTTTACTTCTGACACCATGTCATGTCCCTGTACCAGATGTGGACTGGCTATAGAGCTTGCTTATACACCAGATATGTTCATTCATCAGATCCTTTAATGCTGTGCCCAATATGGCTAGGGTTAGTTTCCATAAGGTATTTTATACCCAGTGACACCTAGCAACTGAACGATATAATAGAATTTAGCATTCCATAACAATAGCCATTACCAGGCTTCTTTGCACTCTCCATCTCTAGGAGACATTCTGCAAGCCAAAGCAATGATTCCTTTCAGCTGTGCATGAACTGGGGAGCAACTATTGTGGGAAGTGGCTGCAGAGGCGCAAAAGTCCTGCGCTATCTTGGATTGGAGAGCTCTATAGCTGCTCAGTAGAGCAGAGAGCTGGAACCTGCAGCAAATAGGAGGTTCTGGTTTCTGTGGTGTTTGATGCATATAAAGGAAGCAGAAATTACTGAATTGTTGAATATTCAGTACAGGGGCTCCTTGCTTTAGTGAGAAGAGTGACAAAGCATGGGCATTTTTTTATCAGGTATTGTCACAATTACTTTTGTTTCTTAAAACTGGTTGATATATTCAAGGTCACTACTCACACTGTATTGATTTTTTGCCTGGGGATTTAGAACCTAAATGATGGAATGTGGTGCAAACTGATAATTTTTAAAAAAATTATTAAAACGTCACGGTGCACCTTACCTGTTAACATTTACTAAACAGTGAATGCATCACAACCATACAGTACTTGGGCTCCAGCCAGTAATTCCTGCAATTCATCTAGCAAGATTCTATTACAGCTTCCTTCAGATGAAAGACTGCATCTTAAAAAATCCTTCCTCATGGACTCTTGCATCTACTTTGATAATCTATGTTGATCTTGGCAATGATAAACATGAAGAGCCAGATCCCTAGCTGGTGTAAATCAGCATTGTTCCATTGATTCCAGTGGAGTCACTCTAATTTATACCAGCTGAGGACTTGGCCTAAAGCACCATTTCCATCCTCTCTGCCAATACATTGGTAATCTATGAACTCTTCTTGGTGCTGCAGAATTAACTGATATGAAAGGGGTAGTAGCACGTTGCTCCATCCTCTCCCAGCCCAGCATGGGAGCTCTGGGAGGCTTTTTGCAAGTCAAACAGCAATTTAAGCTCTACACAAGCCATGCTTCAGTGTTGCAGCACCACCCCCACGCTCACATTCCCCATTGACGGTGGGTATGAGAGGCTGAACCAGAGCAAAGCCCCCCTTCTCCCTCCCCCGCCAAAAAAATCAACTTGGCTGTATTTGAATTTTTAAACCAATTTGTTTCAACCAAAGTTGTGTTAACTTTCTGATTATTCTACCAACTGGATTTGTTGGAAAGAATATTTATGGGCACAGGAAAGTTTTAAGAAAATATTGGAGAATATGTGAATAAAAAATGTTGCATTCCTAATCACAAAAATTAACTCAGAATTGGGTTTCTGTCACTATGCTGAGTTTCCCAATCATGGGAATGCAAACAGACCATGTGACCTATGTGGTCAATCAAATCTAGCTTTAATTTTGAATGTCAACAGTGACTGACTTCTTGCTAAGACACTAACAATCAAGAATTATTTATTGAATTGCTTTGAAGATAGATGCATGTTTTTACATTGCGATCTGTCCACAATAGAATCCGCAAACTGAAAATGAAGCAAAATCAATTAAACGATTGGCCCTATTGTTTGCCCAGCTGTGGTCTTCATTTCCTTTTTAATCTGCTTCTTGGCTGCCTGTTTCTACATTTGGAACAGTATCCAGACATCAAGTAGCTCAGAGGAAGAGTTGATTTTGACTACCAGGATTACCGTAGCATGAAGTTAAGTGCGTATCCCTGTGCAGTTTGTGTGATGACATTATTAATGGATAACTGGATTTAGGCAATCCACTATCACAAGGTGCTTTACTTCCTAGAAATGTTTGCATATACTTACAGTTTTCTTTCATTCACATTTCTTCAGCCAGTCCTCTTGTTGCTAGTTAGCACAAC